TGAAAATTTATTCTTTACGATCGCCAGAACGAATACTGGACGCTGGACACTTTCTCTTTATTGCGAAACGGGTTGCGCTGCATTTTCACTGGACACTGGACACTGGATACTGGATACTGGACACTGGAATGAAACTGGACATCCTCGGATGGATCAACAGCATCTTCTTCTTCCGCCTGCGTCTGCGTTTGCGTCTACGTCTGCAGGTCTCTGTCGCAGCCACTGCCTCGGCTGTCTCTGCCGCCTCGTCTTCTTCTTCTCCTTAAGCTTCAGATTCAGCTTTAGCTCTTCCTCTTCACTGTTTTACATTTATTGCCGCTGTTTTTTTTTTTTATATTTTTTTTGCACAGGCGTCTGGTTTTTTGTTGGCCAGGCCTAAAAAAGCGGCGCAACTTTCGTCGCCGCATTGCGTTGCGTTGCCTTGCAATGCGATGCGTTAGCGGTCAGTTCCGGCTTCTACGCCAGCAGCTCCTTCTTTCTCTTTCCATCTCTCATTCATAGCATGTCTTCTTCAGTTCCTTCTTTTCGGCTTTAATGCGCAAGTGCAGCGCAGCCCAAACTAAACAATGCAACAAGTGGCAATTGGGGGAATATGTCCCTGCCCCTTGTTATTCCTTTGAGAAACCTTTTTTGGCGCAAGTTCTATTAGAAATTAAAAAAAAATAGAACAGTTTTTTTGAGTATTTCATAAAAACTATAAAAAGTTTTTTCTTCGTTTTTTTTCAGATGACCCAATTTCTTTATCAATAATGTTATGTAAATTATATGCATACATAAATACCATGTATGCCATGTACATATGTATACAACTCTCTATTGATAGCTTTATTTTATATATAAATTCAAATTATGATTTAGAAATAGAAGATTCTTTATAATTTAAAAATCTATAAACATATTTGTGTTACAGATTCATAAGTAATCCACAAAAAATAGTCATTAAATGAAACTTAAAAAATTATGTCTATATAAAAACCTAATCTTACCATAAAGGTTATTTTTTGAAAAGGCTTAATAAAAAATCGAATAGGAAGCGAACGCATGTACAACACTAGAAAATAGTGTTAATCAACACACTATTTCCAAAACCTACCACAACGAAACCTACCAGGAGGTGGGTTTTGCTCAGAAATTGCCTATAAAAGGGGAGTCCCTCGTGAATAATATTCAGTTAGTCCTTTGGCTTAAAGCCAAAGGGTTCTAACTCAACCGTCTTTATTATTTTATTTTTTTCCTGGGTCTCATTTAATCAGCTTTTCTTTATTTTCTAAATATTTTTTTCTTTATTGTACCTTCTTTCTTATAAGTACAAAATATCACCCCACGTTTTGTTACCTGATTTTTTTATTTTTGAATATTTTATCCAAAATATTCGATTTTATTAGATTTCTGATTTTACTTATATGAGATTTAAGTTTTGAAGCCTGATTTTCTTATTATTTTTTTAAATATCTGAAAACTATAGACATCTGATTTGTTTTGCTTTTTATTTCCGTTATCGTTATTGTGTACTACATCTTGTAAGTACAGAAGATTACACCTCTGTTTTATAATTTTTTAACTATTATTATATAAATTCTGCTAAATTCTATTAATTATATTTTTCTGCTTCTTTTTTCTGCTGCTTCTTACTATTGAACTTTCCGCTCTCCCGAATTATCACATTCGATTTTTGAGATTATAGAGATTTAAATTTTGAAGCCTGATTTTCTTATTATTTTTTAAAATATTTGAAGACTATAGCCATCTTTTTTGTTTTGTTTTTTATTTTCATGATCCCTATTGAGACTAGTTGGAACTAGAACTTTCATTGAACAAAGTTCCCGAATTATCATATTCGATTTTTGATTTTACTTATATGAAATTTAAATTATGAAAATTATGATTTTCTTATTATTTTTTTAAATATCTGAAAACTATAGCCATCTTATTTGTTTTGCTTTTTATTTTCATTATCCCTATTGAGAATAGTTCGCGTAGAAACAGACTGACGGACAGACGGACATGCTTATATCAACTCAGGAGGTGATCCTGATCAAGAATATATATACTTTATAGGGTCGGAGATGTCTCTTTCAAAATTATAATATCCTGCGAGGTTATAATACCCTGCAAGGGTATAAAAATCTTGAAAATTTTCAAAAACTGGTTCAAGCTTTTTGATAGCTATATTTTGATAAAAACTAATATTACTTAAAGATCTAAGATCGGAAAGACCGTATTCTTTTCAATACGAAAAATACAATATTATCTGTCTACAATGTCTATATTTTTTTCTTTAGTTTATAATTGAAATTATGAAAAATACCGACTTTTGGAAAGCGACTAGGGGGATTATATTTCAGGCTCAATGTCACCACTATTCCACAGTATGGAACCCTCAATTTTATATAGAAAAGAAATAATGCAATTAAAAAAATATATATTATAAATTATGAAATTATTTTTAACATTACTTTTTTGCTTCCATATGAAAAATGATAATAAACTGTTTTGCGCAATAGGTTTTATAAATTAATGATTAGGATATAAACTACACCTAGGACCGAAACTAGGGCTGTAATTAAAGCTTTGTTTTTTACCAAAGAAGTGTTATTTTTACAAAGCCTGATAGATTCAACATTTTTTGTTGTATCGTTTTTTTTATGGCATGCCCCATGCATTACTCTGGTAAATTACACTCTGGATTTAACAACGCTTTTGGTCTCCGATCTCCGGTCTGTTCGGTCTCCGGCGATTTCTCAATGAAACGCTCTGAGCTTTTTGGACATGCCACCCAATCAGTTGATCAACCGATCACCCCGATCATCCGATCTCGAGGGGGGGAAGGGGAGTGGAGGAGAGCCATAAAATGTGGCAGGGGGGGCGGATGCTGTCGGGCAGCGGGGTCTATTGGCTTTCGGCTTGGGGATTGGGGCTTGGGGCGCCACGCCCCTGAGCACAGGTGGGGCAACAGCCAGGTGACAGTCAGTCAGGCAGACGGAATGTCTGGCGCGGCCTGGCGTCGAGTGGAGTGGAATGTCAAACGTTTATTTGCCGGTAATTAAATTTGAAAATGATTTAAATTTCACCAGCGAATATTTCGAATTGGTCTTAACACTTTCTTCTTCTCCAGTCTCTTCACAGCCGGGCCACCTCTCCACCTATCCACCGCCCCGTCGGGCCACCCGCAACTGGGCAACTGACTCAATGACCCACCTGTTCCATGAAAGCACCTCGACTGATTGGAGATTTGTTTTCTATTTGCAGTTGATCGATGCTCGATGCTGGGATACTCGATGCCAGCCAATAAAAAAATACAAATTCAGCAATAGTCTCTAAAAATTACTCAAAAAATACATAAAAATACATACCATAAAGGAATTGGAATGCTCTTCAGTTTTTTAGATATATTTATTAATTGATGGATATATAATTGATTTGAGGTAAGGGGTCTTCAACTTGAGATTTTTTGTATAGAACTTGATGGGTCTTAGTTTAGAGGCTCTTATCTTAGAATATCTTAAGATATTGAATAAGTATTGATGTTATTATCGGAAAATATTTGAGAGAAAAATATTATTCTTAGAACTAAATGTAGAAACAAAGTTTTTCTTATAATTTAAATATAAGGTCTATAGAAGGTGAATATAAGGTCTATAGGATTTAGTCTCTAGGACAAGTGCTTGAAATTATTAGCTTTAATATTAAAGGAAAAAAAGGACAAAGGGACATATGGATAAGGACGAATACAAATATTGACAACAAAAAAAATGGATAATTGAAAATAATATTCAAATTAAACTATATTCATATACAAAAATGTATTAAAATGTTGTATATTTTATGAAGAACTATAATACCCCTAGAAAGAGTAACAAAAGCTAACGTGAAATATAATCTGGAAGCTCATGGAATAATCATGGAATCATAGGATGGTGTCCACGTCGGCGTTCGCAGTCATGTCCACGTACCAACCCAAGTCCAAGGCCACGTCCAGTAGCTTTTTAAATGAAATTCCAATGGATTATGATTGCAGGAAAAAGGGAAAAGCTATCTACCATTTCATAACAAAAATTTTAATCAAAATAAGCTTATTTCAAGAAAATTACTTTTACCCGAAAACTATTACAAAAAGGTGTGTTTTTAAACCAAAGGTTTCAAAAGTTTTTTTCGAAGTAGAAATATCAAAGGTTATACCATATACCAGTTATAAACACAAGGTTATAACCCCAAAAATCTCAAGGTTTAAGTTTAAAAGCGTTTATTGGTCACAAATATATACAAAAAAAAATATTTAAGAAATTTCCACTCACAACCAGCTGTTACATAATATTCTAATTCTCTGATAAGCGGCTATTTAAATAGCTGGCCAAAGTTCAGAAATGATTTGATAAGCTTAACTAAAATATTTTGGAGCTCCGAAGAATCAGTTGTAGTTCTTCTGGTGGCTGTTCAACATGCTGGTTTCTACGCAACGGAAAAATTCCAAAATGAAAATATTAAAAGGACCTTATCGTTAGTTCTTTTGTTTAATATTTCAACCTTTTTGGAACCCAACCAAGGGGTGATTATGCTTTGAATTAATTACTATATATTTCCAAAACTAACTATTATATTTCTATATTTTAGAAAAACTAAGTCACGTTTTATTAAAAAGTTTGATAGGGATCAGTCTGCAATCTTAAATCTGTTAAATTTCTCAGCAATTGGAAATTTGTCAGGAAAATGATCTCAAGGACTCTCAAAATCAGGATAATTTTTAGAATATTAATCTCAGATATATGGAATTGCAAGAAGCGTGAAATAAAAGAAGTCGCAGATATGCAGAGTTGCAGAATACCTTTCACGGAAATGATTTAAAATAGGCGGGATTGGAACACCGATTTCTAAACCATTATCGTAAATAAACGGGACGACGAAGAAATTGTTAAAAAAAAAATACATTCTGCTAACAATCTTTAAAGAACTATAATTCCAAACTTGGATAAACATTTCCCTATTGGACTAGAAAAATTATACCTTTACACCAATGGAAAGCTCATGTACCTCGCTTTGGAGATATAGAATGGAATATATCTATGGGTAAATAATCCAAAGATTATATTCTCAAAAAATTAGAAACTAATGTTTTATATAACCCACAGATTATCTTGAAGTATAGCACAAAGTTTTCAACATTCGATCGGAAAGAGGATGGAAGTTTTAAATAAAAGTAAGTAATTCCTAATAATACTAAAAGATTCATAATTTAAATTATATATATTTAATTTCAGATAGAATTGGAATGAAGACTTCATTAAAATAATGGTACTATCAGGATTAATGGATCTAATAATCGGGTTGCATCGGAATTATTTATCGAAATTTAATCCAACCTCCTCTCGATCGTATGTTGAGAACTTTGTGCTCTACTTGCCAACATAATTAATATTATTTTTATAACCCAAAACCCAAGTTTAATTAAATACTGGGCCTTATAAGCAACCCTTGAGCCTTCCAGTTGGTTAAGAGGTGCAATCTTTCCAGATCTATAAACCCTTGTAGGTCCAAATATCCTAATCCTTGAAAATTTAGGTTTTTTTTGCTATTTTCTCGGAATTCCGTTTATATACGATTTTGCTTTTGAATTCTGTGCTCAAATTCCGCCCATTTCGAGTCCTTTTTTATTAAATTTATCCTGCGATTTGGCATATTTTATGATTTCTTTGATATCACGGTTCCTGAAGTTTCGCATATTTCGGATTATTTTCATTAAATTTATCCTGGCACTGTGAGTTTTGAGATCCTTTTCCTGAGACTTTTTAAAATTCCTGAGCAGAAGTTTCGTTTTCGGATAGCAGATCCGCCAATAATACAAATAACATTTGAAAAGACTATTAATATAATTGGGTCAGATCCTAGGAAGGCGGATATAAATACCATAGGACGGTTGCCCTTCGTGTTAAACAGCCATTAGAAGAATTGCAACTCGTATTTCTGAACTTTAAAAATACATAGAAGTTATTAATATTTTTTCCTTTTCATAAGTTTATACAAAATTGTTGTTATAATAAAATGTAATTCATGAAAGTGCTGAAAATGTTGATAAAAAAATATGAAAAGAAAATAAAAAGATTTCAAAAAAACTAGTCCTGAATGAATTGTAATCTATTTATATACCCCTGAAGGGGATATTAATATTTTGGTCAAAAGTCTGCCACGGTAAAAGTCTGGTAAATCACTCTAGAAATCGTTTAAGGTACTCCGCTTGAGAATCGATTGAGAATTGGGGAAGATATAGCCCTCCCTGTGGACCCTATAGGGGAAAACCACTTTTTCAAGGGATCCCATCAGGAAAAATGGACAAAAAATCTAAAAAATATTTTGTCTCAAGGTTTTAATGCAGAATTGTGGCAAATCGCTCTAGAAATCGTTTAAGGTAATCCGCTTGAGAATCGGATGAGAATTGGGGAAGATATAGCCATCCCTGTGGACCCCATAGGGGAAAACCCCATTTTCAAGGGATCCCATCAGGTAAAATGGACAAAAAATCTAAAAAAAATATTTTGGCTCAGGGTTTTGATGCAGAACGGTGGGGAATCACTCTAGAAATCGTTTAAGGTACTCCGCTTGAGAATCGGATGAGAATTGGGGAAGATATAGCCATCCCTGTGGACCCCATAGGGGAAAACCATATTTTTAAGGGATCCCATCAGGTAAAATGGACAAAAAATCTAAAAAATATTTTGTCTCAAGGTTTTAATGCAGAATTGTGGCAAATCGCTCTAGAAATCGTTTAAGGTACTCCGCTTGAGAATCGGATGAGAATTGGGGAAGATATAGCCATCCCTGTGGACCCCATAGGGGAAAACCCCATTTTCAAGGGATCCCATCAGGTAAAATGGACAAAAAATCTAAAAAAATATTTTGGCTCAGGGTTTTGATGCAGAACGGTGGGGAATCACTCTAGAAATCGTTTAAGGTACTCCGCTTGAGAATCGGATGAGAATTGGGGAAGATATAGCCATCCCTGTGGACCCCATAGGGGAAAACCATATTTTTAAGGGATCCCATCAGGAAAAATGGACAAAAAATCTAAAAAATATTTTGTCCCAGGGTTTTGATGCAGAACGGTGGGGAATCACTCTAGAAATCGTTTAAGGTAATCCGCTTGAGAATCGGATGAGAATTAGGGAAGATATAGCCATCCCTGTGGACCCTATAGGGGAAAACCCCATTTTCAAGGGATCCCATCAGGTAAAATGGACAAAAAATCTAAAAAAATATTTTGGCTCAGGGTTTTGATGCAGAACGGTGGGGAATCACTCTAGAAATCGTTTAAGGTACTCCGCTTGAGAATCGGATGAGAATTGGGGAAGATATAGCCATCCCTGTGGACCCTATAGGGGAAAACCACATTTTCAAGGGATCCCATCAGGAAAAATGGACAAAAAATCTAAAAAATATTTTGTCTCAGGGTTTTGATGCAGAATGGTGGGAAATCACTCTAGAAATCGTTTGAGGTACTCCGCTTGAGAATCGGATGAGAATTGGGGAAGATATAGCCATCCCTGTGGACCCTATAGGGGAAAACCACATTTTCAAGGGATCCCATCAGGTAAAATGGACAAAAAATCTAAAAAATATTTTGGCTCAGGGTTTTGATGCAGAACGGTGGGGAATCACTCTAGAAATCGTTTAAGGTACTCCGCTTGAGAATCGGATGAGAATTGGAGAAGATATAGCCATCCCTGTGGGCCATATACAGAAAAGCCAAGGGTCCGCCCAAAGTTAGCTTGCCTTTCCTGTTTAATATAAATTGGTAAAGACTACCGTTTCGAAAAAGTTTGAACTATATAATTTTTTGGAGCTGATTAGGAGGAGGTGGAGATTGCTGTTTAAAACACTGGCGAAGTACTGAAGTTCTAATTACAAAATGGTACCTTGATCGTATTACTAAAAATTGTAAAAATTTATTCAAATAAAAAGGAAAACAATTTTATCATTTGGGCCCTTAATTTCTGGGTATGGCCCTGTTTGCTTTGGACTCTAATGCTTTTTCTCGAGCCCAGCCTAATCCAGGCATAATGATCTCTGAATTTCCGAGTAATAAACCCACTTTCAGAGTGGTTCTGGAGGGGCTTGCACTTTCAACGCAAATGGTTTGGTCTGGGGCTGAAGTGCGTGTGGCGCGGAAAGTGTGTGGGATTAGTTCAAGTGCAGCTGGATGTTTTCACGTTGGGAGTGGAATGGAGTGGAGTGGATTGGAGTAGCACTTGGTACATGATACACATGTACCTGAGCACCTGGATCATGGCTAGTTTCGTTCGCTACTCAATTATGCAGTGACACACACACTCACCCCAAAAATAGTGAGTTTGAAATTTTTTTGGTGAGAGGTGTATGTGGGGGGAGGCAGTGCGTGCCCTTCCCATGGCCAACATCCATCATCCCAAAGCACACACAGACACACACACATGAAGCACAACAAGTCCAACAGCACTGGCCATAACCCATCAAGTGGGTTCCGTTTTGTTTGCGCATGCGCGGCGCATTCAGCATCGATATTTCACGATCGTCGTCTGCGTCTGCGGTTTTTTATGGCTGCGGAGGAAAAAAATACAACAAATCAACAAAAATGTTAGTAGGGGAAAAATTTCCTAATCAAGAGACAAATTTTAATACCCTTTTTAATGGTATTTTATAAAAATCTTAAGATTTGTTGCGTAGTTTTTAATTCTAGCTTTTAAATCGTATTCCTCATTTGATTATTTAAATCATATTATATTTTTCTGTATTATTATTCTGTAAATAATAAGTAAAAGCACCGAAATACCCCTTAAAAAGTGTATGCAAAAAAAAAAAATGGAAATGGGGAAGAGATGAAGCTGCTAGCTGACTTCGTGCTGCTATTTGGTGGTCCGCGATTTTGTTTTCATTTGGAAAGTGGGTGTGTTTGTCTAGCTGTCCGAGGCCGGGCTCCCTGCTAGACCACCATCCACCGTCTATGGCCACTGCCCCCCCCGGATGGACCTGCACCCTCCCCCTCTTCAATGTCAACATGAAGATTTTTTTTGGGAAAGAGAAATGGGTGAGGGAGTTAGGCTTGAGGTATCCATGGGCCTGGGAAATTGTCTCCTCGCTGACGGACTGTTTTCCATCAGTGGAATGTCCATTTTGGCGGGGTCATGTCAAAGTATTCCAAAAACAAAAAGGAAGTTTTTGAAATGCCGGGAATAAAGGGGAAAGTGATATACGATGCTCTTCAAAGTGAGTTATCTAGCTAATATGAAAATAGGAGGAATTTTTTGGAGCCCAAATGGGTACGTAGCTGGAGGGTCAAGTGGAGGGTTCAAAAGTCAAGTGAAGGGGAAAGACTGGCTCTAGTAACTAGAGTCTAGTTTAAGCTTAAAAGATAATTTATTTTAAAAATTTGTTTATATAAACTATTTTTGATGGCCTTTGACTTAAGGGTTTGTTTATGCAAATAATTTCAAAAGGTGCTTATAAAGAGAATAGATATTTATAATAGATAGTACCTTTTTTTATTAGTAAAAAGATCTATTTTAAGTCCTTTTTTTATGAAGAAATTTGAAAAGATTGTCAAATATTTTGAATATCTAAGTATTTAGAAGAAGTTGGTTTATTAATACATAAGATGGGATATATATTCTGTTTAGGTTTTCTAGGTTTTATTCTTAAAAACTAATCACAATTCTTATACCCCTAAAATAGAACCCCATTTCTTTATATTTTCCTTTTTATTTCCCAATTTTCAAATTTCTCTATATATTTATTTAATATTTATTTCTTTTCAAAACCCCATATCTCTTGTAGTCCTTAACTTAGATATTTAAGCCTTGAAGCCTTTTCCTAATTACCAACATAACCATGTGAAAGCTGTACATTAAAAAAATGAGAAAAAAACGGAATCTGAATCTGTAAAAAAAACTGACGAAAAAAAAAAACTTTCTTGGCGAGAATGTTGCTTAAAAAGTATCCAAAAGTGGAACTTTCATAACTGAGGCGCATCGATCGTTCGATTTCGATTGCGATTTCGATTTCGGTTACGATCCGTCCCGTCCATCTATCCATGGGGTCTCCGCACCTGGAATGCCACATCAGTTTCCAGGCTCCACTTCCCACCAGAGAGAGAGAGAGAGAGAGAGGTGGAAGAAGCAGACAGGAAGATAAGGCCCCCAAGGCATTCAAGAGATACTCTGAGATACTTCAAGATATTTGGATACTGAGATGCAGATACTTTACATGCGTGTGTGAGCTTAGATTGCCGAATTGTAAGGCTTTTTATGGGGTGGAGGGGTAAGGCTACAGGGGC